TCAGAATAAAAAGTTATTCTTTTTTTTTTTAAGGGATGGAAAAAGGGCCATCTTTCTACTTCATTTTATTTCTGTGACTATTAGAGTGCTTTATTAGAATAAAATTCAGTTTATCTAGTCTGATACTAATAAAAAATAAATACTGACATAAATAGGGCTGAAGGAAAGCTCATTCTTCAATAAGGATTCCAATGTAATAATAAATATAAAACCATTTTGGAAAATATAAAGTAGCTGTTAGAGTACCATGCAATAGTGGATGGGGTGAAACTGAAAAGCTTCTGTAAAGCAAAGGACACTGTCATCAGAACAAAATGACTGCCTACAGACTGGGAAAAGATCTTCACCTATCCTACATCTGACAGAGGGCTAATATCCAGAATATATAAAGAACTGAAGAAGTTAAACACCAACAAACCAAGTAATCCAATTAAAAAATGGGGTACAACCATATAAACAAACTGAAGGAGAAAAATCACATGACCATCTCCTTAGATGCAGAAAAAGTATTCGACAAAATCCAACACCCATTCATGCTTAAGGTCTTGGAGAGAGATCAGGGATACAAGGCACATACCTAAATATAGTAAAGGCAATATACAGCAAGCCTATAGCCAACATCAAACTCAATGGAGAGAAACTTAAATCTATCCCATTGAAATCAGGAACAAGGCATATTGTCTTGTTATCTGTCTCCATATCTCTTCAACATAGTACTTGAAGTTCTAGCCAGAGCAATAAGACAACTAAAGGAGATCAAGGGGATAACAACCAGAAAGGAAGAAGTCAAAGTATCACTATTTGCAGATGATATGATAGTATACATGAGCGACCCCAAAAATTCAACCAGAGAACCCCTTCAGCTGATAAACACCTTCAGCAAAGTGGCTGGATACAAAATCAACTCAAAAGCCCTCCTGTATACCAAAGACAAAAGGGCTGAGAAAAAAATTAGGGATACAACACCCTTTACAATAGCCACTAATAACATAAAGTACCTTGGTGTGACTCTAACCAAGCAAGTAAAAGAACTGTTTGAGAAAAACTTCAAATCTCGGAAGAAAGAAATTGAAGAAGATATTAGAAGATGGAAAGATCTCCCGTGCTCATAGATTGGTAGGATTAACATAGTGAAAATGGCCATTCTTCCAAAAGCAATTTACAGATTCAATGCAATTTCCATCAAAATACCAACACAATTCTTTACAGACCTTGAAAGAAAATTTCTCAACTTCATATGGAGAAACAAAAAAACCCCAGAATTTCCAAAATGATCCTGTACAACAACAGATTGTCTGGAAGTATCTCCATCCCTGATCTCAAGCTGTACTACAGAGTAATAGTAATAAAAACTGCATAGTATTGGCATAGAAACAGAATGGTGGGTCAATGGAACCGAATAGAAGACCCAGAAATAAAACTACACACCTATGGATACTTGATTTTTGACAAAGCAGCCAAAACCATTCTATGGAAAAAAGACAGCATCTTCAACAAATGGTGCTGGTCCAACTGGATGTCCACATGCAGAAAAATGAAAATAGATCTATATTTATCACCCTGCACAAAACTAAAGTCCAAGTGGATCAAAGACCTCAACATAAAACCAGATACACTAAATCGGTTAGAAGAAAAAGTGGGGAACAGCCTAGAACTCATTGGCACAGGAGACAACTTCCTGAACAGAACACCAATAGCACAGGCTCTAAGAGCAACAATAAATAAATGGGACCTCATGAAACTGAAAAGCTTCTGTAAAGCAAAAGACACTGTCATCAAAACAAAATGACAGCCTACATACAGACTGGGAAAGGATCTTCACCAATCCTATATCTGACAGAGGGCTAATATTTAGTATATATAAAGAACTCAAGAAATTAAAAAAAAAAAACAAATCAAGTAATCCAATTAAAAAATGGGGCACGGAACTAAACAGAGAACTCTCTGTAGAGGATTGTAGAATGGCAGAAAAACACTTACAATTAGGAATAGTGATTCCTCAAGATCCAGCTATACCACTCCTAGGCATATATCCAAAAGATGCTCAAGTACACAACAACGACATTTGTTCAACCATGTTTGTAGCAGCTTTATTTGTAATAGCCGGAACCTGAAAACAACCCAGATGTCCCTCAATGGAGGAATGGATACAGAAATTGTGGTACTTTTACACAATGGAATACTTACTCACCAATTAAAAACAAGGAAATCATGAAATTTGCAGGCAAATGATGGGACCTAGAAAAGATCATCCTGAGTGAGGTATCCCAGAAGCAGAAAGACACACATGGTATATACTCATAAGTGGATACTAGACCTATAAGATAAGATAGCGTAAACATACTAAAATCTGTACACCTAAAGAAACTAAACAAGAAGGAGGACCCAGGGTAAGAAGATCAATCCTTACTTAGAAAGACAAATACGATGGACATTGGAAGTAGGAGAAAGTGAGAAGCAGCGTAGGAGCCTACCATAGAGGGCCTCTGAAAGACTCTACATAGCAGTGTATCAAAGCAGATGCTGAGACTCATAACCAAACTTTGGGCAGAGTGCAGGGAATCATATGAAAGAACAGGGAGTTAGTAAGACCTGGAGAGGACAGGAGCTCCACAAGGACCAAACATATCTGGGCACAGGGCCCTGTCTGAGACTGATTTTCCAACCAGGGACCATGCATGGATATAACCTAGAACCCCTGTTCGGATGTAGCCCATAGCAGCTCAGTATCCAATTGGCTTCCCTAGTAAGGGGAACAGGAACTGTCTCTAGCATGAATCCCATGGCTAGCTCTTTGACCTCCCTAGCCCGCCCATGGGAGGAGTAGCCTGCCCGTGGGAGGAGCAGCCCAGCTAGGCCACAGAGGAAGACATTGTAGCCACTACTGGTGAGACCTGAGTAAGCTAGGGTCAGATGGACGGGGAGGAGGACCTCCCCTATAAGTGGACTTAGAGAGGGGCAAGGAGGAGATGGGGAAGGGAGGGTGGGGTTGGAAGGGAACGAGGGAGGGGGCTACAGCTGGGACACAAAGTAAATAAACTGTAATTAATATAAAAAATAAATTAAAAACATTTAAAAAATGGGGTACAGAGCTAAACAGAATTCTCAACAGAGGAATACTGAATGGCAGAGAAACACTTAAAGAAATGCTCAGCATCTTAATCACTCAGAAAATGCAAATCAAAATGACCCTGAGATTTCACTCACAGCCATCAGAATGGCAAAGATCAAAAAGCTCAAGGATGATGCATGCTGGAGAGGATATGGAGAAAGGGGAACCCTCCTCCATTGCTGGTGGGAATGTAACCTTGTACAACCACTTTGGAAATCAATCTGGCGCTATCTCAGAAAATTAGGAATAGTGCTCTCTCAAGATCCAGCTATACTACTCTTAGGAATATACTCAAAAGATGGCCCACCATTCAATAAGGACATTTGCTAAACTATGTTCATAGCAGCTCTATTCATAATAGCCAGAATCTAGAAACAACCTAGAAGTCCCTCAAGGGAGGAATGGATACAGAAGTGTGGTACATTTACACAATGGATACATTTTCTTTTACTAGTGTTTATTTAATGCCTGTCTTTCTTAGGCCCTATAATAAGACTGAAGTCTAGTTGTTAGAAGACTACTCTAAAATGCAGGGACCCAGCAGAAACTAGAAAGCTCAGTCATCTTTAATACCCTTAATTATGTAATTAAGTGTGGTTCTAATCCTAGCGCAAGTGTTTTGTCAAAATATCTTCTCTAGCTTGCTTCATGTCTTCTAACTTCAAAGACAAGGAAAACCTAGCCTGTCTATTGAACTACCTCTTTGCCTTTTAGAGAAGACTTGTCATATAGATATTAAGGCGATGTAACCAATCCTTTTACCCTTGGGGAATCCCACAGCTCTCTGAGTGATAGTCTCTTTTTTCAGGATCAATGACTTAACCAGTCTGTCCCTTGACTCCCCTGGTACTATTCTTTTTTGATCAGCTTGTTATGTGAGAAGGCTTACATTATTCTCTTTGCAAGGCTTAGATACCAGTTGTCTATTTTCCTTTTCTTAACTAATTCCCAATTTCATTTGAAGAAATAATACTGAAGAAATAAAAACAGCTAAGACTCCCCCTCTGCTTTTGCTACTGCTCTGGTCAATGGCTTTTGAGAACACCATTTTTTTTTCTGATAAAAAAGGAGAAATGATAGATGTTGCCAAGATCTTTCCCCTACCTTGCCTTTTATTCTTCTTCTTCTCTCCAGAAGCAGAGACTTGAAGCCTGTAGGTAAAGCCTATATATCTCAACCATGAAGAAAAGCAAAACACAACAAACAGAATACTCCAAAAGTCTGGTGCAGCAGGAAGCCTGAGAGAGACTGCCTTTCTCAGTCAAGCCACAGCAGCCTGGTCTCAGAATTCTCATGGAACAATATACTACTACTTCAGAAGATGGTGTAACTGATTTTACTGTAGCAGATAAGCACAGCTCTGACTAAAGAACTCTTTACTTGCATACCACTGCTGTTAGTCTCTTGTAGCTATCTGATCTGTTCATTCTGAAGTGGCAAAGTGATTAGGGATAGTAAAGAAGACAGAAGCAGCTGTATTTAGATTTTCATATTCCTTGAATCCTGTTGTACTTGGCTGAATTCAAGTGCACAATTCTCCCGTATGAGCATTGTAAGCCTGTGCCACCATGGCTTTGAGCTACTGAGTGAGGTTTAATCCACAGCACAGAATCACTCAGCAACCACTCATTAAGTGCCTTTACTATATGTCTGGCACTAAAATGGGCACAAAAAACAAAAGACATGACCCTGGAATTTCTTCATGAAATGTTCCTTTGTTGATACTGGCTTTTTGTTTTTTTCTGCTTCTATCTTACTTCCAGAGGTATGGATGAGAGAATTTTTTTTAGTGGAACATAACATAATTCTACAGGATATTCCTATAGTTCTTAGTATTACAAACTTGAGAGCTAATTTCTAATGCAAATCAAAAAGTTCTACCAGGTACCTTCTTGAATATCATCCTCTAGGTCTGCCAGAGTTGGTGAGTTAGGAAGTGAATACATGGAAGATTGGATGAGTTGAGTCAGTTTTGAAATGCCGTTAATCACCATGCTTCCCAGTGGAATGATTTGCTCTAAGGGAACAAAAAGAATGACAAAGTAATAACTTAGACAATGGTGACCATAAGTAGTTTTGCTTGAAAAACCCAAAAAGCCCACTGAGAATGGCTTCATGGCTAAGGAGCCTGATAGAAAGTGCACAGAAGAGATACATTCACTATATAATCCAAAGTACTAGTCTTTCATGCAGAGGAACTGGGTGCCAAAGATGATGAACAGTTCCAACCTTGTTTATTATGATGCCACTGAAAAAAAGTTTTTAAAGGGATATTTAAAAGGGCTAGAAAATCTAGAGTTAGTAACTCTATTTGAAGAGTAAGTGACTTAAAACATAGTCTCACTTTTTTCTTGTATTAGCCAGAACTACAGTTTCTAATAGAACAATGGCTTTGCTTATGGAGTAGACCCTTTCTCTTTTTATTATAAACCTTCATGATAGACAATCTCTCAAAAAAAGAACTCTCTCTGCATTTGTCATTCCCTTACCTGAGAGAGAACACTTGGACCTTCTATAACTAAGGACCAACGCACTCCATGTTGCCTTGCATAGATCCCGCTGATACAAGACGCTGGGTAAGGGGGGGCATGCAAAGACTTGGAAATCGAAAGGGGCTAGAATGAGTGAAGGCACACAAATCATGAAATATCTGGACAGATCACTGAAGTAAATATCAAAGGCCACCTCTACCGCCTTTAAAAGCAGCATTCTTTAATTGTGTGTGTGTGTGTGTGTGTGTGTGTGTGTGTGTCTGCCATATGTATGGGTGCTCACGGAGGCTAAAAGAGTCACTTGGATCCCCTGGACCTGGACTTACAGGTGATTATGAGTTACCTGGGCATTGGGAGAATCAAACTCAGGCCCTCTCAAATGCTCTTAACCACCCAGCCATCTCTTCAGCCTGTTGCTTTTCCTGACACTGCATTAAGCCATTCAGCAATGTGGATAAAGAGCAGGATTGACAAATTAAGGAAAAGGAGATAAAACAACTATGAACAAGATTTTTAAGTCACTGAATATAATGATATTGGTAAAAGATATTATCAGATATTCATTAATAACCTATAAAAAGTACCTCTGGCTAGGTATGGGAGAATGACAAGAAGTTCTGGAAATCATCAAAAAAGGCAACTTGGATGTGCTAGCAGGAGGCCGAGGCACGAAAGGGAGAAGTCAACTGTATAGCTTTTCTGTGCAACAGAAAACATTCCTCCTAAACTAACAATGGCAGTGGAGTTATAGGTGTTTCCCTAGGCTGAAGAACATGTGGGAATGTGGCTAGAGCTGAAAATAATAAAGGACTCCTGATGTCAGGTCTGTTAAGTCTGTGCCAGGCACATGCTAGGCCCCAGTGCCTAGTTCAGGACTTGCTAATTTATGAACTTTTAGAAGAATTTTCATATACATGTGCAGTGTGTCACCTTTCATGTTTACATACTATCTGCAATCTATGACATGTAACATGCTGGGCTTCTGCATCTGCAATGCAAATGATTAGGCACAGACACATGTCTTAGATAAAAGCCTGAAAATAAGGTTTGGTGACATAGGCTGAGGTAATTGAGGTAAAGAGAGAAAGAAGCTCTTGTTTGAGGGTTAGTGCCTTAAAGTGAGAATAAAGTTGAGCTTGGAAAATGTGATCAGCTGTCTCAAGAAAACAAGGAGGTACTGTTCCAGCTCCAAGGGGTGAGGGAGTTCTCAGATGCTCTATGCTTGAGTTGTTGGGTTGTCTATGTGGTGACTCATGATATCCCCTACCAAAAAAATCTCTAAATTGGGTTTCTAGATCAGGACAAGCCAGGATCAAACAGGGTAAAAGTAGGTAAAGCACTGATGGCATCAATTAGCATTTTAAGGGGGGAGGAATCACAGCTTGTGGATTTGACACTTGAGACCACAAAAACAGTATAGAATATTACAATTCTAAGGGCCTTCAGGATTGCCTCATCTAACCTCTCCATCAGGAAAATGTTTTCCAACATCAAGAAGGCTGACTTACCATCTAGCTTCACACTCCACGTCATATGAAAACCGTTGGTCATCAAGTAGAAGTTTCTCACATCTTCAGGCATTACACAATTGTTTTTCTAGAACCACAAATTTCCCGTTGTTAGGTCAGGGCTTGGAGAGAGGATGAAGGCTGAGGATAAAGGCTATGTCGCAGAGCTCTGCATACAATGCTAACCATCATCTAGATCTTCCAAGTATGAAGAACAATAATTACCTACAAAATATTACAGAGGTTCTGGGCCTATCAGGAAGTTACAAGTTTGATTCTGTGTTTGTGTGTCCAGCATGTCTGTGTTCTGACATGACATGTTAGCTGGAAAGGGGGCTCAAAGAGGGTAAAAGCTAAGAGGAAACACTGGAATGGAGCAAGAGGCTATCCCAAGTAAAGTGTGACATCATCAGAATAGATCATCATAAACTTCAAGTCCATGCACATGTTTTATTCTCTGAAACAAATTACTGTACAAGAAAACACCTTAAAAGTGTGCTGTGATTGTTACTTCATTCACTATTCAGAACTATTTTAATAGTTCTGAAAATTCTTAAAAGATTACAAGATGATATACAAAAGTATTTCTTACAGATTAAAAAAAAATCACCCAAATTAGTGATGCAGAGAACAAAAAGAATAGCTTATTATTTTTTTCAGGCAGTAATAGGAGCAAGGCTTAAATTCTAACTCGCTCACACCTGTATACAGGTCTTACTAGTCTTCAACTCAAATCCCTGAAATGCAGAGAGAGGTTCTTCAGGTTCTTTCTGGAACCTTTTCCAGTAACTTTTGACATGGTTAGAGGCAAAAAGACAATATAATAGCAACTATCCAAGCTTTTGGCTTACAGTTCCTTAGAGGTGATACTGACAATTGTGTACATCATTTACTACGGGTCATACTGTCAGTTCTAAGGACTAAGTGTGGTCTGTAGCAGGACAATTGGGTTCATTTTCCAACTCTGCCATTAGCAGAGTTACCTTGGGCACTTTCACTTAAACTGCTAATTTAGAATCAAGAATAAACTTTAAGGTGAAATCTACAGAACATTAGAGGTGAGGGAAGTATTACTTGATAGAGAGAGGTCTGAGAAGTTATGATGTCTTCAAAAATTTTATGCAAAAACTTAGGTGTAAAGGTGATTTAAATAGCATTTTTAGGTTATAAAATGGATAATAGTTTTCATTTTAGTGAATTAAGTTTCTAATTTCCTTTTTGTTGTTGTTGTTCATTTTGAGTGTTTATTTTGTTTTAAACCAGCTACTTCCCAACCACACTTACAAGATTCTCAGACTTTGTTTCCTACTTAATATATTATTTTGAGCAGGACCTGATTTTAGTGTCTATTGACTATAGTGTCTTCTGTTCATTCTTGAGAATTTCAATGGGAAATCTGCAATTAGGCGTTATTAATATTCTAACTTTTGAGAGGGTTAGTAGTTCTACTGGAAGAAAAAGGTAATCATCAGTATCAAACAGTTACAAACCCTTGTGACCCAGAACAGTGACTGTCTGCAAGATAAACTGGTGTAATGGTGGCACAAATATCATGGGAATAACCACTCACTTTTTGATTGTTGTTAAGACCCACTCGAGATGGAGACTGACACTGTGACCAAGAACTTGAGACTAGAAAGGTCATTGACCTAAGTGAGAACCTACTACTACTATTTTATTAAAAGAACATGGCAATAAAATAACTCTTAGTGACATACAACTATACCCATAGATCAGTGCACTTCACTCAACCAAGATCAGAGAAGTTTCCTCTTGCAGTACATTTTCACAATGGAATACTACTCAGCAATTAAAAACAAGGAAATCATGAAATTTGGAGGCAAATGGTGGGAACTAGAAAAGATCATCCTGAGTGAGGTAACCCAGAAGCAGAAAAACACATATGATACACACTCACTTATAAGTGAATATTAGCCATACAATATAGGATAAACATACTAAATCTATAGTCCTAAAGAAGCTAAACAACAAGGAGGACCCTAGGGAAGAAGCTTAACCCTCATTCAGAAGGGCAAACAGGGTAGACATTGGAAGGAGGAGAAGACAAAAAACAGGACAGGAGCCTTCCACAGAGGACCTCTGAAAGACCCTACCCACCAGGGTATCAAAGGAGATACTGGGACTCATAGCCAAACTTTGGGCAGAGTGCCGGAATCCTTATGGAAGAAAAGGGAGATAGAAAAGACCAGGAGAGGGCAGGAACTCCATAAGGAGAACAACAGAGCCAAAATACCTGGGCCCAGGGAGGCCTGCAGAGACTGATACTCCAACTGAGAACCATTTATGAAGAGGACCTAGACCCCATGTTCAAAGGAAGCCCACTGGCTGTTCAGTTTCCAAGTGGGTTCCCTAGTAAGGGGTACAGGGGCTGTCTCTGACATGAATTCAGTGGCTGGCTCTTTGATCACCTCCCCCTGGGGGGTGCAGCTGCCAGGCCACAGAGGAAAATGATACAGCCAGCTTTGATGAGACCTGATAAGCTAGGGCTGGATAGAAGGGGAGGAGGTCCTCCCCTATCAGGGGACTAGGGAAAGGGTATATGGGTAGAAGTGGGAGGATAGGTGGGACTGGGAGGTGACAATGGAGGGGCTACAGTGAATAAATTGTAATAACTAAATATATAAATTAAATTAAATAAAAAAAGAGACTCACACTAGACAATATGCAGAGAGTGAGAGACTTTGCAGCACTCAGTCCTAAAGGAGATGCCATCAACTCCCGTCCCCTGCCATAGGTCAGGGACCAATGAAGAATAGGAGGCAGAAAGACTGTAAAAGCCAGAGGTGATAGATGGTTTCAAGGAAACAGTGTCTTCCAGATACACCAGGACTGATGAACATATGAGACTACAGTAGCACATAAAATACCTGTTCAAGTTCAAGCCAGACAGAGTCCCAGCACTGAGAGAAGAAAGTAGACCTAGGGTCCCATCCCTAACCAGGGGCCCATCTGCAATTGATACTGGCTAGTCAAGGGAAAATCAGTTTTCTCCATTGGAGTTTCACTAGATATGTGAACCACACTTTTGGGAAGGCCTAGTATACAAGAGTAGTTAGCCAACACAAAACAAACAGTATTTTTGCAGTCTTTTTGTTTCCCTGTGTTTTGTTTTCGCATTTTTTTTTATTATTATTCGTCTTTTGCTTGTTTTGATTTTCATTTTTGCTTCTTGTTTTTTGTTTTCTTTTTCTTCTGAAAGAGATAGAAAAAGAAAGAATGTAAAGCTGGGTGGGTAGGGAGGTAAGGAGAATCTCGAAGGGACCTGGGAAGGGGGAAAACATGAACAAAATACACTCTATGAAGAGAAAATTTTCAATTAAAAAAAAAAAATCTCTAGCTCTAAAATCTTAGCTCTAAAATGCTAAGACCCACCGGCAGATTTTGGCTACTGGTGCTATCTATTGGAAGAGAAAAAGAACCTGAAGACTTCTAGTTGTTTTTTGACTAGCAGAAAGAAAGGGAACAGGATAATAGAAGTATAAATCATCTTTTTTCTTTTTCTTGACATGGGGGGGGGGTGTTTCCTGTAGCCTAGGCGGCCCTCCAACTCATGATTCTTCTGATTCAGCTTCCTCAATCACTGGGATTGCAGAATGCGTCAGTATGCTCAGCTTTTCCAGCTATTCTTAATATATAGTCCATAGGATACCAACAGAAAACAGCTGTAGGGTCATCTTTAAGTAAGACTAGAGAAACCTAGTTGTACTAATTAATTTGTTAATGTGTTTATTTGACCAAGAAAGACCTTATTTTACACAAGAACCCCCTCCTCTCGTGTGTGAATGCATGGGTATGAGCCTACTAGGCAGAGCCTACATACATCCATGGGCAGAGGACAACTTTGGGTGCCATTCTTTAGGTGCTACCTACCATTTTGTTTTTTGAGACAAGGATTCTCACTGGACTGGGATTACAATTACATGTGCATACCACCACACCTGGCTCTCCCCACCTCCTATGGGTTCTGGGTATGAAACACTGGTCCTCATGCTTGTATTAATACTTTACTGAGTTAGCTACACCAGCACCAATTTTTTTAAAAACAATTATTCAAATTTCATAAAACATGAAAAAATCCAGCAAAATAAAATATTCCAAGTGCTATTTTGAGCATATAAATTGTGATGTAAACCAAATTAATGAAAAACTTTAAGACTACACTGTCCTTCTAAGATAATGACTTGTGGACCTTTGGCCTTGAGGGTTGTTTTGCTAAAGGTCCTTCTGTCCCAGGCACCCAAGGTCCTCACAGTACTTCAGTCCCATAGCCAGCTTTACTCAGTGAAGTTTTCAAGGTACTATATATATATTTTTTTTGGGGGGGGGGGAAGTTATGTCATTTTTTTATGGGAGATAGAAACTTTTTTTTTCTTTCCCAAACAGTGTATTTGAAAATTACATTGTATAATCTTACTGGTAGTCAGATAAATTTAAAATGGCAGCCCTGCCAGGTGGAAGTGATTGAAAAGCATGCAAGAGAGTCCTTTTCAGAGACAGCTCCTACTATCCTTGCTTGGGAACCCACATAAAGCCCAAGCTGTCCAAAGGGTATATACATGCTGAAAGTATAGGTCCAGTCCATACATGGTTCTTGGTTGATGTTTTTATATTATTTTTTCACAATTTATTAATTATATATCCTGATTGAAGCCCCCTCCCTCAACTTCCCCAGTCCCACCCTCCCTTTCTCTTCCCCACATCCCCTTCCCCTAGTCCACTGAAAGGGGGAGTTTTCCACTATTGCCATCTGCCCATAGCTTGGTAAGTCTCATCAGGACTACCTGGATCCTCTTCCTGTGTGACCTGGCAAGGCTGCATCACCAGGGGCAAGTGAACAAAGAGCAGTCAGCAGAGTTCATGATGAAGGCAGCCCCTGCTCCCCTCACTCGGACATCCACATGGAGACTGAGCTGCCAATCAGTCACATCTGAACAAGGGGGTCTATGTATGGTCCTTGGTTAGTGCATCAGTCTCTGCAGGACCCCCTGGGCTCAGATCCTCTAGCTTTGTTGGTCTCCTTGTGGAGCTCCTGTCACCTCCATGTCCCTCTATCTTCACACCTCTCTC